GGGCCTGTTCACATCCTAACGGCGCTGTGGTCCCCCCTCGGACCGTAGCGCCGTGGCTAGGGGCGGCGGCTGGCACTAATTGCCCGGCCTTGATCTGTGAGACTAGGGTTTCTACTGAGTTGCGCATGGCTTGGGCCTGGGAGTCAAAATTTGCCTTAATGGTGGCAACTTCCCTGGCCATGGCCTCGGCGTTGCTTTGCATGGCCGCAGAGAGTGATGTGATGTAAGGCTGTTCCAATCCTTGGATGCCTGGAATGGGCGCTGGGCAATGGAGGAGTGGGGGAGAGGTCGGCGCTGCCGTGAGGGGCGTTGCCGTTCCCAGGTCATGTGGGTCGGCTTGCTCCTCACCTGTATGCGTTGCAGAGAGTGTCGCAGTGCGCTGTACTGCACCCGGCTCCTCCGTCGCGTCCCCCATCATGAGCGAGTCAGTGATGGCGGCGACTGGCGGTGCTTGCGACTTGAAATAAGCTAGTAGCATGGCAGCCTGGCTGAGGTCCGCTTGTGCGGTCTGAAGGGCCAGGGCAATGTTGCGCACGTGCTCCTCCGCCTGCGTTTGTTTGGCTGCCAATTGCTCACAATTGGCCTGCAGGGAGGCCACCACGTGCTCTTGCTCGCTAATCTTGGCCAGCGGATCCCTCGCGTTGGCCAGTTGAAAATTAACTAGTGAAATCTCCTTACGGATCTCGGTGATACGCATATCGGAGTGTCCTAGGAGAGTTGAGGCCCTAAGCTGCAGGATTAGTGCCTCCTTGCTCATTGCAAGGGCCTTGCGGTGCTCCAGCAGGCGGTCGGGCTCAAGCGGGGGGTAAAGCCAGGCTGAGTGAGAGTGCGCCTCGTCTGGGGTAAGGGTAGGGCAATGCGCTGTGAGCTCCGCCTCCGAGAGTTCGGTGGCGGGATCCAGCGCACCAAGCGAGGCAGAGGCCTGTTCGGCCGCGAGGAAAGGAGACTGCTGTACAGAGGTAGGGCCGAAGAGTGTAGGGGGAGTGGCCACGCCGTCTTGAGGAGGCGCAAAAGGGGAAGGCAGTGACTGGGGAGACTGCCCTATGATGCCTGTGTCCTTGGCCCCGTGTGGGGTGCCAGGAGCCTTCAATGGAGGCTGCTCCCCGTCTCTGCGCTGGTACTCGCGAGCTCTGCGAGCGTCGTCCTTCTCTCGCTTCTTGCGCTCCTTGTTGGAGATCCCAGCCTCTTGGACCGCATGATCTCCTGGGGGCGCGGGGAGCAGGCCGTATTCCGCTGCCCATGCAGCCACCTGGTCGAAGGACGGCGCACCTGTCGGTGCGGGGCCCTTGCCCTGGTGCGCCCCCCCCGTGCTGCCTGAAAAGGAGCGAGGGCCCTTGTGGCCCGGCCCCGCGCCTCCATCATGCAGGGGCCTGTGCTGCCCCTGACCTTTGACTGGGCCGACCTTCGCTTGTTGGTGACCTGCGGCCCGAGTTGGAAAACAGTTGGGACATGAGGCATCCAAAGTGGTATTGGCCCGGCCACATTGCAGGCAATGCCAGAACTCGGGCGGGGCGCTGCCTTTCTGGTGCACTGGCTGCTGGGGTGGAGGAAAAAAGTCCAAGGGCAGGCGCGTGGCATAAAGAGACGGTGAGGGAGGGGCAGCCAAGCGCTGGGTGGGAGAAGTAGCCATGCCGTGCTGCTGCAGCCCAGATAATGGCGCATGCTGAGGGGGTAAGGTAGGAGGAACAGCACCTTGCTGGGGGATGCCCTGAAAGGAGTGGTGCTGTGAAAGCATCATCGCGGCCTTGTGCACCCTTAAAAGCGTGCGGGCGTTGGCGCGCTGCTTGCGCGCTCTACGATGAGGAGCGGGCTCGTCACGAGGCCGCTGGGGATTGGAAGGAGGAGAGTAGGCAGGCGTCGCGCCTGTCGGATGGCGGCCCGATAGGGCGTCGCAGCGGGGATCGGCGCGGAACCGGTTATGCAACCGCTCGAGCCAAACCTGACGGGAGGAGGAGTAGGGAGGGGGGAAAAGAAGAGGGAGGGAGGACGCGGGGACCGTCTTTTCAAAACGAGGACCCAACAACACAGGTTGGTTTGGGAAAAACAAGCATAAAGTACAGCCCGCGCGCAAACAGTTTTTTTTTTTTTTTTTTTTTTTTTTTTTTTTTTTTTTTTTTTTTGAAAATCCGTGTTGCGAAACCAGGTGTTTTGTTTTCGTTGGTTTTTCGGACATTAGGTTTTGACATGTTTACGGCACCGACCAGTTTTGAAGGATTGCGGCATGCGCGCGCGACGATGCGCGCGTGTACACTTCGTGCAATTTGTTTCGAAGTGTTGTTGGGAACGGGTGGTTTTTGATAAACGAGTGCGCGCGCATAGTACCTGTTGCAGAAGATGGCGGGGGGGGGGTCGATACCCGTTCCCCTGAGATGGCACGAAGCCATGGCTAGGATGGACGATGGGCCAGAATCATATGTACATTGCAGTGCGGAGAGGGGGGGCAATAATCCCGGGGGGGGATTTTTCCAGAAAGGAGAACGCATTTGGGGCAAGTCTTCGTTGGGCAATCTATGTGGCGCAAGTGATATTAACAGACGAGCTGACACGTCCCATGTTCTTGCAAACAGCCCACCCACCCACCCGCAATTTGGTTTGCAAAACCAATGCGGTGGCGATTGCGATGCATGCTTGGCGTTGGCTGGTGCATCTTTGCGTCCGCGCCAACCCTAGCACTCGCGCGCAGCGGCCAGCTAGTTTGGCGCCACCGACGCGGCCGCGGTGGCGCTGACCGCTGGGCTCATCCCAGCGGGCACTTCACTGCGATTCGGCGACTTGGGCGGGCGCGGTATCATAGCAACGCCGACTACGGTAGACACGATGATGATAGTGGCGATGCTGGTGGCGATATACGCACCGACGAAGGCGCGGCCAGTGCGGGTGCCGATGCTGATCGCGCCGGCGACGATGACGGCGTCCTCGCGTCGGTGATGAATGTTTTGGAAAAAGTCCGACATGCGCGCGAGGCCGACGCGCGACAGTGGCCCGCATAGTCTTCTTTGACACGGCTCGTCCCCCCCCCCCCAGCACGCGCGCAAGGGCGCGCGAATGGTGTCGGCATGCGGCGCCAGAGGCCCGTTTGGCATAACTCCATTAAAACATTTTTTCTTTTTTAAATATTTTTCTGACGAGTTCTCATGAGCGCGCGCAGTTTTTTTTGAAAACTGATGGTGCGAAATTATATGTGTTTGCATTTTTTGTTTGACATGAAATCGCTGCGACACCGAAGGTCTTTGAATGATTCCCGCATGCGCGCGCGACGACGCGCGCGTGCGCATGTTTTTTTTTTTTTTTTTTTTTTTTTTTTTTTTTTTTTTTTTTTTTTTTTTGCAAAGGGTTCTTGCGACGACACGCGCGCAAAGGCGTTCGAACGATTTCGACATGCGCGCGCGAAACCCTTTTGGTTGTATTTTCATGAACGCGTTGAAGAACCAGTGTTTTTTTTGTCAAGTGTTCCCCAAAACGAGCTCGCGTTTATTTATTTTAATATATGGAGTATCCGTGTTGCAAAACCATGTGTTGTTACATGTTCGTTGGACACTCGTTTTTGCAATGTTTCCGAAACCGAAGTTTGTGAAGGATTTCGGCATGCGCGCGCGGCGACGCGCGCGTGTGCACTGCGTTCCATTTTTGGGATGTGGTTCCAGAACATTTATGTTTTGTATAAACGAGTGCGCGCGCATAGTCTGTTTTGCAAAGGATGGCGGGGTGGGCGAAATCTGCTGGAGTGGGATGATGTGAGTTCCTATGTGGGATGGGACGATGGTGCAGAATCATCTGTAAATTGCAGCACAAACAGATGTATCGTTAAAGCCGATGTTATATATATATATATGAGTATGTATATGTATATATATATATATATATATATATATATTTATAAGGGATCCTACGTTGTGTGATATAGTTTTACAAAGGATGGCGGGGTGGGCGAAATCTGCTGGAGTGGGATGGTGTGAGTTCCTATGTGGGATGGGACGATGGTGCAGAATCATCTGTAAATTGTATCACAAACAGATTTACCGTTAAAGCCGATGTTATATATATATGAATATGTATATGTATGTATGTATGTATGCGTATATATATATACATATATATATAAAAAGGATCCTATGTTGTGTGATATAACGGCGGCGAGCGACGACGGCGGCGACGGGGCGGCGGCAGCGACATCATAGCTGCATGAGCGGCAAACAGGCCCATATGACAGGCGGCGGCGAGGCGGGGACGGGGCGGCGACGGCGACAACATAGCCGCCAGAGCGGCGGACACGCCCAGACGACGGGCAGCGATGAGGCGGCGGCAGGGCGTTGACGGCGACACCACATCCGCTGGAGCGGCAGACGCGCCCACTGACTTCCTTAGTGGAGAAGTGAAGACCCCTTAAGTGCAAGCACTGTTTGTGGTAAGGCAGCATAACCCTAATTTCTCGTAGGTCCGCGCGGATTTCTTGGATCGGCGCTGGACCCCCCTGGCAGCGCCTGTGCCGCCGCCCCTGGCGGGCGGAACCCGCCAGGGAGGGTTTCCAGCGCCGATCCAAGAACCCTGCGCGGACCTTTGATAATTATGTGAATTTAGTTTTTTGCTCCTGTACGATGGCCCTCGGAAGAGGAAAACCATACTGATACCGCTGCCTCCCCCCCCCGCCACGGGCGGATTCGTTTCGAAATGCTGGTCAGAGCGCGCCCCTGGAGGAGTCCTGGGCGTGGCGGTATCGGTACCTGTTTGTCTCCCGAGGTCCTCCTGCTGGATCAGCTCGACAACCAGTCTTCGCGCTGCGCCGGGAGGGGACAAGCGCCTGGCCACGCTCGATCCTCCAGGGGGTCCCGAGCTCGGGTCAAAGTCGGTCCCGGACCCCTCCGGGGGTCCAAACGCACCAAGTTTCCGAGCTGCGCCTAGCCGTCGCGATGAGGGCCCCCCCCGAAGGCGAACGACCGTTGTCTCAACTGGCCCTCCTCTGACTCCCACCTCCGATCCAGGCTCGCGCGCTTGATTTCCCCATGGGCCAGCCCGCCGTCCAAGCTCAGTACCAAGCGGCCCAGGCCTGGGGCGGATCCACCAGGAGGCCCAGGCCCGAGGAGGGCCTTATGGAGGCGCGGCGGCGGTGGGCGCCCTCCTCCCTCCCGGGCTTCGGGCCGTACTTCGACGACCTCCGGACGCACTGGACGCCCGCGGCGCGCTCGCGCTTCCCGCTCTTCTGGCCGCGGGAGCTGCGGCGGGAGCTGCAGGGGACGCTGGCGCTCAGAGGAGGAAGAGGCTCCGATGCCGCTACCCTTCCGTCGCCGCCAGAGGCCGGGGTCGCCTCGAACTCCCGGCCAGGACGTGCCCCGGGAGAGGGCCGTGGAGTAGCGGCAGCAGTGTCGTTCTGTTGTTCCCTCAGGCGCTGGACGTCTTCACAGTCGGGGAGCAGGGCGTGGCCCGGGAGCCCTCGCGGGGCGGGCGATGGACTCGAGGAGGATGGTCGGGAGGTGTGCGTGTGCAGAGAGAGAGAGAGAGACAGAGCGAGAGAGATAGAAAAGGAAAAAAGAGAAAGAGAGAGAGAGAGAGACAGCATCCGTGGTATTGCATTGGCCTCCGAGATGAGGATCCTGCATCCCTCTTCCTTCTGAAGTCTTGGTGCTTTGCGTATCCCCGCCCCGTCGAGCGAGAAGGCTTGGGCCGGTGCACGATTGAGCACACTTGACGCATCTCGCCAATCATGCCGGGGACGCCACGCACGGTGCCCGCGTTGGCAATCCGTGTGGTCTGTGCCAGCAGCTACTCCGGGCTACTTGGCCTGAGCGCGCGCCTCTCTCCTTGCCCTGTCACGCGGCCGCCCCTTTCCTTTTGCTCCCGCCCCCTGTGCACGATGAGCGACCATGCGTGGCCTGGCTTCCGCAGCCTGCACTGCACACGCGCACACATGGCTTCACAACGGCTCGCGGTGCCTGATGCCGCCCGCGCGCGCCCTCCCAGCCAATCCTCAGCCGGCCCAGCCGCCGCGGCCGTCTGCGCTGCTCCCAGTGCCCAGCGCGGCCCGCCGGCTCTGCAGTCGCGCTCGCGTCCACCAGCGCTGCCAACAAAAAGTGGCCCGGCTTCCCGGCCGCGCTGAGCGACCGCCACCGCTGCGACCAACACTTGTGTCAGCAATTCCACCATCCTCGTCCAGATTATGTGTGTCTAACGGCCTCACCGTTCGTCAGCGTGGCCCGATGATGCGGCGTCGGAGAAACGCTTGCATCTCGAGGCGTCGCGCAAGCTGAAGATTATGAATGCGGAGAGCTTCGGTCGGTAGCTCTTCAAGCTGACCGTGTCGTACTTCCCTGAGCTGTCGCGAATAATAGTTACAATGTGCACAGTAAGAAGGGGACACCCTCCTCTGCTATCTCGGCGACGCATCGCCACGCCAAACTCTAGACAGCACTCCAGAATCACCGGGGCAAGCTTTCTTGGAGGGCGCGCAGAAGCATCACTGGTGGAAGGATGTGCCACTGTGTCGCGATTCGCCTCGTCTGGGGGGGATGGAGAACACAGGCGTGCGATCCCGTGCTTGCCTCGGCGCCACCCAGGAGTACGAGCTCCTCGGCCGGCTCTGCCCGGAGATGGTGGCCAGGCGCTCCCTGGAGGAGTACCGGAGTGCCTGGTGCTTGGCGACGCGGGCCGTCGTCACGGCCATTGTCGTCTTTGTCGTCGTCTACGTCGCCGCCACCGTCGTCGCGGCCATCCATCGCGGCCGCCGCTGCCGCCGCCCCTGCCGCCGCCGTCATTGTTGTAGTCTCCCTCCTCCCCCCTCCTGCTTTTCCCTCGTGCCCCTTACCCTTCTCCTCATTCTCCTCCTCCTCGTCCTCTCTCGCTCCTTCCTCCTGCCCCCTGTTCTGGTCGTCGTTGTCATCGTCCTCCTCCTCCTGCTCCTCTGTCCTCTTGGGCATGGGCCTACCTCAAGACCTTGGCTGGTGCGTGGGCCATCTCAGCCCGGATCCCAGCCATGACTCCTCGGGCATGCTTTTTTGGGTGTGAACATCCAGCCCGAGATGACTTCAGCCACTACCTTTTTTTGCCCTCGCCTGCTTCACCTCCTTGCCCTACCTCGTAGTCACCTCCCCGCTTCCCCCATCACCCGCTTCGGACTGGGGGAATATCCAACCATGAGCAAACCCAAACGGAAATATCCAAACGGATATATCCACGGACCCATTAGCATCATGTTGTTCTCTTGGCATTTCAAATCCATCACAAGCTCAAGGCAAAGTATGATGCGCTAGGGAGAGTTCCAGTCACTCCCACATTTCAGAAAATCATCCGGGCATCAGCGAAGGCCGCCATTGGCTACTGAGCCCGCTGCCGCGCCGTGCTCCAGACTCATCGGTACAGTCACTACTCCTCTGCGCACGGGAGCGTGCGCGCGGGGGGAGGAAACGGAGGGAGAGAGGGATGGAGGGATGGGAGAGAGGGATGGAGGAAGAGAGGGAGGGAGGGAGGGAAAGGAGGAGGAATAAGACAAGGATGAAGAGGAGGAGGAGGAGGAGGAGGAGGAGACGGAGGAGGAGGAGGAGGAGGAGGAGACGGAGGAGGAGGAGGAGGAGCATTAGAGGGAGGAGGATGAGGAGGAGGACGAGGAGGAGGAGGAGGAACACCAAGGTTTGGACGGACTGGGTCAACAGCTCCCTGGCGGTTGGTGGCGGAGCCGTGTTTAAGTACACCAAAGAACCTGTTGGTTGGGCTCCCGACACCACTGGAGTTTCTGGAGGTCCCGCAGGCCAGGTCGACACCGTCGAAAGCCTCGTCGAGGACTGGAAACAAATATGGCACGAAGGAGAGCCCAGCCGCCTCACTGCAGAGCACCTTGGAATTCTTCCCCTTGGAGAAGCCCCGCCAGCCCCCACCCTGGAGCAAGTCAAGGGAGCCCTCAAAAGGTTCAAGAGAAAAACTGCAGTAAGATCTGCCAGGTGGAGCCCCGCAGCGTTGAGGAAGCTCAGTGACCAGGCCCGCGAGGTGTATGGTAAGTTTCTTTCGCGTATCGAGTCGCATTTGCTGTTTGCAGTGCCGTGCGACGTCTCGTTGCTGGCTTTTCTGAACGAGCCAGATGGCGGCAACATGCCGACTTGTATCCTCACGACGGCGATCCGTGTCCTTGGGCGTATTCGTCGGCATGAAGCAGCAGCATGGGGGCGCGCACATCAACTCAAATGTACTTATGGGTCCAAAGGGCAAAAACTGTGAACGAACGATATGGCAACAAACAACAGCATACGAACCAGCAAGACGAGTGAACGAATCACCAGCATCAGCACTCATCGACATGGCAAAATGTTATGACACGGTCCCGCACGATGTCGTATGGCACGTGTGTGCGAAGCATACGCTCAACCTTCGTCGTGCTCGGCTTCCTCTCTTAGTGTATGGTGGTCAGCGTCGTCGCAATGTGCGTGGGATTGTTTCGGGCAGAGTGCAGATCATGAGGTCTATTAGTGCAGGCGGTTCTTTCGCAACTACGCTGCCCCCTAGTGTATATACAGAGCAGATGGAGCTCGCTTGGGCTCTATATGATGGTTGATGACCTCACCGTTGGGGCGGCAAGTTCCATGCGCCAAGTGGAACTTCGCTTCGCCCAAGCAGCACCAGAGCGCGAGAGGCTCGGCAAGGCACACTTGAGAAGTGGCCAAGATTTCGTTATCGTGCTGACTCTACGCTTAATCACCTCGGACAGGATTTTGGGATGCATGGAAAGACAAGAAGACTTTGAAGCAGCGCATGTGGGGCATCAGGAAGAGAGCAGGTCGATTCCGAGCCTTGAAACATCATCGTCGTGGGCTAAAGCGTGTGTTTAGAGCAGAAGGGTAGCAGCAGCAATGTATGGGGACGAATGCAGGGCATGGCCAACTCGGATCTGTCCAATTTGCGATCCGTGGCATCGTTTGCTCATTTCGGTGCAGCATTTGCTCATGGATCCTCCCGACCCCGACCCAAATTTTGTCGTCGACCGCCAACGTGCTTCCCCTGGTTACATTGTACATGGCAACCCGCACTTCACCAAGAGTGGCTATCTCGGCGAACGCTTTCAACCATCTTCGAGGTTGCCGCATCTTCGTCGACAGGTGGCTGGATTTCGGTTATAGGGCCAGCTGGCGCGGTCGTCCAGACCCTCGTACGTATTGGCTGGGCAGCAGTAGGTTACGCCGCGTGGCGGGGCTCTCAAGGCCTTTTGGCGGACTTCTTCAACATGAGCTTCCAGGCCCTCAAGAGCCTCATACACCGTGGCCTCCGAAGGTCCCAAGAGTTCCAAACCCAAATTCATATTGTATAGGAGTGATTGAATCGTATACCGTGCTATGGGCCGGTCCAACATGAACTTCAGCGCATGAGGGGACGGGGTGATCATAGCCAAACGGATTTTGTTGTAACGCATATCGCTAGGGCCCTCTGGACCCAGAGCAAGCTGTATAGTGAACGGTAGCCCCATGACCAATTTGTGCCGGTGGTGCGGAGCTCAGACAGGCACCGTCCGACACAGAGTGTACGAATGCGGCGGTCAAGCTGCATGGCGTCGTGACTTTGGTTCGGATGAGATGGTTGGCGTCAGTCGACAGACAGGCTATTGTCTGCTGACCGAATACGGTGTCACAGGGAGTGGTCGAGATGATATTCCTTCGCCTCTCGGGAGGTCAGAAGCAGGAGATCTGATCGTGAAGTGTTGGGTCTCAGGGGGGATTTCTGCTCAGAGATTTTCAATGACGCTCATGTTTGAATGCAGACATCGAGTGGCGAACGAGATCGGGAAGGTCGTGCATTTCCTTGGTCCCGAGAGCCCGTCAAGCAGGTCTTGTGTGTTATGGGGCAGCGCCTGGTGCAGTGCAGAGCTCGGGCCTTGCCGAGCATTTCGCCTTCTATACGGCGCTGCGTCTCATGGGCCCGCAGACGACGATTAGCACTGATCTCGAGAACTTGTTGTTGTCCTTCGAGAAGGGAGCTGGATCAATGCGTGGCCCAGCCCAATCCTGATTTGAATCCTGGAGGCAGGTTT